AGAGCTGGCCAGAACTGCGAGGCTCCTGTTGAGTGAGCAGCTCTGCACCATTCCGCTGCTGCAGTAGAGCTGTGTAATTCCTTCGGTGGTGGAACGATGTGTGGACTGGACATTTAGCTTCTGGGGTCCTCCTCCCTGGCTTGCTCCCCCCCCCCTTTTTTTTTCTTCCCGTTTGCATCGTGCGGGCTGATGGTTTGAAAACCAGGAAAGGTAGAATCTTTCCCAGAAAGAAACAGCGTTTGATACGCGCTAGATTAGGTGCGTTACCTGGAATCCGAGTGTGTTTGGAACAGAAGTGGATAAAAACTAGATGGTTCTACGGACTGGCAGGATATCTGCAATCTGACAAACTGGCTTAAATGCCACACACACGCGCGCGCGCGCGCGCACACACACACACACACACACACACACACACACACACACAGTTCGTTTCTCTGTTTGCATGCTGCTAGCTTGTGCAATTAAAATAGGAGATCTCTCGTGTGTCTGAGCTACCTATCATATTCAGTTTTTGCCTGTGAGGGGATGGGGACATACTAGAAGAATGTCAGTGGACACCACTCTTAATAGAAGTGTCCTCCAGCCACTGGGTGGCTCCACTCATTTCAAACCAGTTGAGTTTTTTTTTTTCCCCCTGCTTTTCAGCTTCCTAATGGAACTCTTGAAAAGCTTTGGGTAAGTCCTATGTATGGCCCAAAAAAAAAAAAAAAAAAAAAAACCTGTTTAGTTTAGGGCAAGAAACCATGACTGAAAAGATGTATATCAATAATTTTAGATGATTGGGAGTCTACAACCTGAAGTAGTATCTTTAATGGTGATTTAGACACTGGGTTTGTTAACCCACCGGGCAGATAAGTGTCTTGTGAGGACACATTTCAGAAAACATGGAATTAGGTTGTCTTGCTTGAAATACAATTTTAGCATTAGTTCTTTGTTTTTCCAGAAATAGACTGGGATTTTGGATTTTGTTTGAAGATTTTACTTTGGCAGTTTGTGCTCAAAGATTCATGTTATGTGTTTGGGGCAATGGTTGTCACTGAGTGTTCTTGTTATTGAGTCATTCTTTAGTTCCTCCACAAACTGCCTAGAGTAGATGGACATTAAAGCATTTTGTTACTGTTCATCTACCTCTAACCAGTTTCTTTGAAAAGCTTTTATGCATGTACTCTGAGAAAAATGCCCTGTGAGTATTACTTTACTATTTGTTGCTGGCATGAAACTGGCTTAATTTTTATATGTTAGTAATAATAGTTGCCTTGTGTTTGAGACGGTTATAAAAAGCCTTAAATTCTTCTAATCCCTTTCTTATATCTGAGCTGGGTTTTAGTTTTATAGCAGATAATGGAAATTGGAGTTTAAAATAGGAAAAAGGTAAAAGTGTGTGTGTTTTGTTTTGAAGATAATTTTTCTTAAGACTATATGGTTGAAGACCCCTTAAATAAATTGTATTTATAAAAGCCAATTTAATTAGAAGCCTAAAAGATGACACAAGTATAAAAGCTCTTAGGAGTTACTAATTTTTAAGCAGGAAGTTTCTTATGGTTTCACTTAGAGAGCAATCATTCAGTGGGATGTGGTTTATGGAAACAAGATGGCCTGGCTTTCCAGTCAGCCTTCCTAGAGATGAGTCCCATCAGGATAGAATCACACCTTCACACATACTTCACCAGAGTTTACTGACGTGCTGGTTTCCTGTCCCTTTCCAAACAGTGAGAAGTACTTGATTACTTACACTTAGAACCTGCTGTAGCTGTATAAAGCTGTAACTGTACATGAGTTATTTTAAAATGTCAAGGAGATGATAGAAAACACAAAAGGGAAATGTGGGCATGGCTTCATAATTAAGCTTTAGTGACTAAAATGTAAAGGCTAATTATTGAAATAATTGCATTAAAAATACTTATACTATCGTTGTAGAAAACCCATATAACAGGTATCTCCTTACTTTTATCACAGTAGCTTAAAAAACATTCAATATAAAATCAAAGAACTAGTGAGCAGCTAAAGTGTCTGAATGAGTTCAGTAAATTCTGCAAAAACTGAGAGCTCAAACTACATGAAGTTTTTATTAGTGTGTAAACAGATTTGTCAATATAGAAAATAATGGGTATAGTTTGAATCAGCATAAAAGTAACTTAAAAGAGGAATGATTAACAGAAATGTATGTGTGTATAGATGTGTATATGGGAATTCTGTCAAATGTAGCAGGGACTTTGTTTGAACTTTTTTTATGATTGATTAGCAACTTTATTGGGCTTGTGACTGCATGCTGGAGGCCTATTGATTTTAAAATGCAGTCACCTTGAATTTTGTAATTCGAGTAAAAGATGATGTCTTGGTGTCTCATAATTTGAGCGTAGTTATGTACTTAGTGGAAAAGCATGACTTGTTCCTTTGAATTGGAAAATAACTTTCTTCTCTCTTTCTTTCTTTTTCTTCTAAACAGCAGTTCTGTGGTGTTCTTGGTCACACATTTATGGAGTTTCTGAAGGGCAGTGGAGATTACTGCCAGGCACAGCACGACCTCTATGCAGACAAGTGAACTGTAGAGATTCATTACTACTCCACCAAGAAGCCCCCATAAGAGTGGATAACCTGGACACAGACGTGTTGAATTGAAACCTGCAGAGCATTTTACAAGAGCTCAGACCTGGATGGGGTAAACCTCAGTGCACTTCCTTTGTATTGCCTCAGTATTACTGGATTGAAGAATCATTGCTTCTTGTTAGGAGGTTCATTTCATTGCTCATTTCTCCCAATTTCATACTCAAAGCACTGAGAATTTCAAGTGGAGTATATTGAATATTGAAGTAGACTTCAGGTTGTTTTTTTGTTTTTGATTTTTTTTTTGCATCATTTCTGTATTCAATTTTTTAATTCTTTCATAACCCTATTGGGTGTTTTTTAAAAACTAACTTAACATGGCTCGAATGAACCGCCCTGCTCCTGTGGAAGTCACATACAAGAACATGAGATTCCTTATTACACACAATCCAACCAATGCGACCTTAAACAAATTTATAGAGGTAAGTTACATTTTCTATAGATCCTAATTTGTTGCAGTTTATTAATGGTGGGGCTAATGTGAAAGAAGTTGTAACTATAGTTTTGGTACTCAGAAATGAAATGTCTTTATGGTGTTACACTTTGAGAACTATATACTTTCAGAGACTGCCACTAATGGATTTTTTTTTTTCATGTATCCTCTTCTAGTGCAATAAACTATAATAGTTAATGTCTTTGACTCTATTTTCCAACTGGTAATTCTGCTTTTTTTCTGATGACTTATGTGTAGGCTTCCAGCCTGCTCTTGGAAGGAACAGTGCTGAGTAATTTATCTGGACACACATTTATGAAGCATAAAAACCTACAGATGATCAAAGATAGCAAATAGGTGTCTCAGATTTATAAGGGAGTATTTGAATGTTACATCTTCTTTTAAATTTCCAATGACATTTTTTTTAAAAATGCAGAGTTGAATTATAATTACTCTAAAGCCTGTAGTTTTTTGAGGGGTTTTTTGTTTGGTTGGTTTAAAATTGAAGTCTGGATTTGAACCTTGAAATTATTTCTAAGACTTTCAGTCTGGGGACGTAGGAGTAAAGTGCTTTATTGCTCATGCATGCAGACCTGAGTCTCCCTCAGAATCCACATTTAAAAAGCCATAAGCGGTGGCACATGCTTGAAAGTCCAGCAATGGGAAAGCAGGCACACTGTGGACTCACTGCCAGCCAGCCTAGCCTAGCCTTCTTGGCAAGTTTGGACAGTGAGAGATCATTTCTCAAAAAATGAGGTAAATAGGACCAGAAATTGACTTCTTATCTCTACAGGCACCCAAGTACCCATAGAAACAAGATTAAGGGTCCTCCCCACACCCCCTTAACTGAACTAAAAATGTATGCCTTAAGCATTCCTTTTCTTTTTTTAGAGATTTATTTATTATGAATACAGTGTTCTGCCTACAGGCCAGAAGAGGGCACCAGATCTCATTACAAATGGTTGTGAGCCACCATGTGGTTGCTGGAAGCCAAACTCAGGACCTGGAAGAGCAGTCAATACTCTTAACCACTGAGCCATCTCTCCAGCTCCAGGCTTACAACCAGATTTGATTTGCTCTTGTGTTAAATATACATTACAAGTTCTGCCATTCTTCATTTACCAGCATTATCAAAAATTGTGAAAATGACAAATGATAGCAATAATGATATGGTTCTGAGGACTTCCTGAATTTTTTTAATATAAGTATTTTTTTTTTCTAGGAACTTAAGAAGTATGGAGTTACCACAATAGTAAGAGTATGTGAAGCAACTTACGACACTACTCTTGTGGAGAAAGAAGGCATTCGTGTTCTTGTAAGTACTTGAGTTTTTATGTATATCTGTTATGCTATGGAAGTTAATTCAAATCCAACTTCAAGAAGTTCAATTTTAAGTCAAGACAAAATTAGCCCAGTCAGCCTGGAACTAGCTATGAACTCAGCAGTCCACTCCCCTCCTCCTGGGGTTTGAGAGTACAGGACTGCACCAGTGTACCTAGTTAATTTAAAGGTCTAAAATATTTCTTCTTTTGATTCAGGACTGGCCTTTTGATGATGGTGCACCACCATCCAACCAGATTGTAGATGACTGGTTAAGTCTTGTAAAGATTAAGTTTCGTGAAGAACCTGGCTGCTGTATTGCTGTCCATTGTGTTGCAGGCCTTGGCAGGTAAGAAAATGACTTTCTAGACCAGTGGTTCTCAACCTTCCTGATGCCACCACCCTTTAATACAATTCCTCATGTTGTGGTGACCTCCAGCCATAAAATTATTTTCACTGCTACTGCATAACTGTAATTTTGCTACTATTAGGAATCATGATCTGATATGCAGTGTATCTGATAAGTGGCCTTCAAAGGGATCTCGACTTTAGTTCTAGCTAAAGGTTTGAATTGAAAGTACTAGTTCTTCCTAAGATTCTCTTTTCTTTGGGATTGAACCTGGACCCTTCTGCATGCTAGACAAGTACTCTTAACACTACACTGTATCTCCAGCTTCTTGGGTATCTATTTTGAGACAGGTAGCTGGAAAGCTCTGTGCTACAATTTTAAATGAAAGGCCAATATTGAAATGTTAATATTACGGGATGATTTGTAATTATATTCTTGGGTCTGGGGGTATTTGAATAATGGATTTTACAGGGTTTAATTTAGAAAAATAGTGATTTGTCAAATTTTTTACCTTGCCAGAGCTCCAGTGCTTGTTGCCCTAGCATTAATTGAAGGTGGAATGAAGTATGAAGATGCAGTACAGTTCATAAGACAGTAAGTAATGCACTCCTCTCTTTCATGCCTGCTTGTATTTTCTTATTCGATGTCAGAAAGAAGTAAAATCTAGGTCATGTATTGGTTATCTTTGCTCTGTTTGTTTTGGTATGTTTGAGTGTTTTGTCTGAAAGTGTATTGTGCGCCTGTTGTCCTTAGAGGTCAGAAGAAGGCATTGGAACCCTTGGAACTGAAGTTTGGGGTGGTTATAGGTTCCAGGTCCTCTGGAAGAGCAACAAGTGCTCTTAACTTTACCCCCTGCCCCCCTTGTATTATTAAAATACTATATTGAGGCCAGGGGAAAGCAAATAATTGCTGGATGGTTTGTTCTGCTTTTTTGACTCAATGTGCTGTTAATACATTTTGCTGAGATATATAGCTAAAGTTGGAGCTTTTTGTTGTAGGCTTTTGGTGGTGGTGGTCTCATCATTCATAGAATAAAAGTTAAATAAAACCTGGCATATTTAGAAATCTCAGTACTCTAGATGGGTCCTTTGGTCTTGGTTGTCATTTTCCTTGCTACCAGAAAGAGCATCCTTCAATTACCTTTGTCTTTTTTCCTTCCAGAAAGCGGCGTGGAGCTTTTAACAGCAAGCAACTTTTGTATCTGGAGAAGTACCGTCCTAAGATGCGGCTGCGCTTCAAGGATTCCAATGGTCATAGAAACAACTGTTGTATTCAATAAAACTGGGGTGCCTGATGCCATCGCCTTGGGAGTGGAACTCAGATGGGACCTGATTTGACATACATAATTAGCCAACATGTCGGCTTATTGAATAAGTCTACTGAAGCTTCTACAGTAATATTGAAAACCTGTTTTACCAGGCCACAAGCTTGACAGAATTGAAACCTCTATATTTAAGTTATGATCAACCCGTTTGGACACTTAGCAAAAGATCTTTGCTGGTCAGCATTTAAAATGTGCTTATTATTTGTACCAATTGACCTTTCCTAAAATATGGTATTGAGTTATGTCTTTAAATGTACTCCTGTGCCAGAGTCTTATTAGTGAATAAGGAATTTAGAATGATTAGGTGCCAAAATACCCAGCACAATATCTATATATTTTTAGCATCATACAGAACCAAAATTCCAGGAACTAAGAACACTCTAGACCTTCCATGGTTTATTCCTTCAGTCATTTCAAACACTGCAGTGTTGTTGTTGTTATCTGCCTGCTCACTCTATGTTTACATCTCCCACACTCATACCAGTATACATCAGGTTTGCTTAGCCATCGATTTTGGGATTTTTGTTTTTTTGTTTTTGTTTTTGTTTTTTTGAAGCAAGTCTTGTGAGGATTATTTAATGTCTTTATATTATTTTGTGCTGTTATGGGAAACCTCCATTTGAAAATCAACTTTGTTACAGAAGCACATATCTTCAATAATGTCTCCAGACAAAAAGCCTTATAGTTAATTTAATGTTTGCACTCAAAGGTGCGACTTAAACAGGGAGGGCCTGATAAAAGAATGGGAGGAGGCTATTAAATATTTTTAGTAAAATGTTGCCTTTGTCTTGTGCAGAACATGTAGAATATGCTCTTTAATTTAGTAAATATTTTTAAAAGGTAGAGATACATTGTTGTAGCTAACCAATTCTTAATCAAAATTTCTGAAATTCTTGTTTTTTTCCATACCTATCAGAAGTTGTTTTTCAACTTGCTTGAATTATGGTTTTCCCCTTCTCTTCCCAACCTCGCAAAAAAAAAAGAAAAAAAGAAAAAGAAGACGTGGGATCTGCTGACAAACTGAGCAGACATATTTTATATGCCTTTTCAGCTATGTAACTTAATAATTGGATACTTGATCATTTGTTTTATTATGTAATCGATAAAATGGTGATGTGTATTAATGTTAGTTCAACCATATATTTATACTGTCTGGGAATGTGTGGTTATAGTTCTGTGGGAGAAATAATTTGTCAGTGTTCACCAGCTTGTAAAAACTTAGTGCAAGAGCTTCAACATCTAAATAAAGAATGAAATGCGTTTGTCACTGAGGTTATTTTGCTTAAAATTAACTTATTTTGTAGAAAACAATGGATTCAGTTATTTCAACTTATGAACAAATTTGTTAGGGTTATGAGCACTGTTGAATACCAAGTGCTTTTTATTGTAAATTTTGCTCTTTTAAGAACCAGTTGAATGTTGCGTACTGAGGGAAAACAGTTTGTAATAGATGGTGACCTTGATTTTTAAAACTCAGTTCCATCAGTCATTAGCAGTTTTGTGCGGTTTCTGATCCAGTTTTCTCATTTTTAAGTTAATTACATGCCTGTATATATTTTGAAATTAATTTGAACCTGAGTATTTGGCACATGGCTTAATAAATTTTAACTTTCAATAATCTGAAATGTTTCATTTCCCTAGTTCATGCTCATGTTAAATGAACAGGATTTGTTTTAAAACGTTATAAATGTAAATTGAAACTTTGAAACATGATATTCCACTTTATGCTTTAAAAATTTACTGCTGTCTTTTCATGCCAGTCTAGCACTTACAGAGATCGTAGGTCCTTGGTTCTTACTAAATAGTACTCTTTATTATCACATAGCCCATAAATAAGCATTTGTTCTTATTGGGAAGAGGAAAGGTGCTGTCATAATTACTGAAAAATTGGATTAATTTATTGAGATTGTATATATGGTGCTAAAAGTCACTTTGCTTTATAAATTTACCTGTGCATATAAACTGATATTTGCTCTTTAGTCAAGTATGTTGCATCTGTAAATACAGCAATACCTGTAATAACATCCAAAAATACATATGAAAAGAATTGAAAGAATTATAAGCTGAGTTCTTCAATGCAAGAAGTTCGCAGATGTTATAAAATTTACTTGGGGTGGGGGTGGGGTGGACTGGGAATACAGTTCAATGAGTAGAGTACATGCCTAGTGAAGGGGAAGCCCTGAGTTTGATCCCCAGCACATCAGGCATAGTGGTATGGAGGGATCAGAAATCTAAGGTCATCCTCAACTATATAAGTTAGCCAGCCTGTTGTACATGAAATGCTGTGTCTAACTATGCAATTTGCTTGCTTGAGCTTTGGTATCTTCAGTAGATACTAGTAGTGACTACTTCCACTTTCATAAAGGAATCATGATGTTCCTGATGCTGGTAATGTGGTTACTGAATCAGGAGAAATGCAGTCTACTAAAAGAAAAGCTTAAAAGTAGGTGCTGCCAGTCATTTTGCAGTAGCCTACAACCTTCAAGTTGCTCTTTGTGCCCACTGAGGGCAGTGCTTCACTATCCACACTTAACATCCCTTCACACTCATTGTTTGCCAAGGCATGTGATCAAGTCCCAGTTATTGTCAATCGTACTGTGGTTCCATAGCCTAGCTGTAATCTCAAACTCAGGGTGTTTTGTTACATTTATCTGGCAAATGGCTACTCCAGACAATTAAGAGGACTGTAAAGTGTTGCCAGATTCTAGTCAGTAATGTTCCTGTGCCCTACCAGTAACATAATCTTTGTGTTGAAGTTCCAGGAAATGTTACTGGTAAAAAATGCTTCAAATGGAAGTGACTGCTTTTTTTTTTAAATTGCAAGCAAAAGATTAAAATATACAAAGTAGTATCACCTACTGTCCACGTTTATGCTCCACATTGCTGATTCCTTGAATTTGTGTGTGTGTGTGAGCATGTGTCTCCTTAAAACCCAAACTGAAAATTAAAGACTGCTTTAAGTATCTGACAATGTATCTGCATTACCTTTTGAGTAACTATACTGAAATATTGAAAGAAAAGTAAAATATGTTCGTTTCCAGTAGATTGAGCCAGTTTATGTGTTAAGAAAGAATAGAACTGACAGTGATATAATTAGATTCATATTGCCATATTAACCAGGTAATACATATAGTTGATAGCTGCCACTTAGTAATTTACCACCACATGTTTTTCATAGTTCAGTTTTATATAAGGGGTTTATAATGGTGTGTTGTCAGTTTACACAGACAGGATATGGACCTCCAGTTAGGTAACTAATGTGTTGTAGAAGTGGAGGATTCAGACCTGAGTTTGAAGCTGAGCATAAGGAGTTTGAGTACTCCTTTAATGAGTGACAGGCAGATCTCTGAATTCCAGGCCAGCCAGAGCTATATAGGGAGATCCTATCTAAAAAAAAAAAAAAAAAAAAAAAAAAAAAACCCTTCATGTGATTCTTACATATACCAAGCCATGCAGCTTAAGGAAAATATACATCTGTAATACACCGAGTTGCATCCTGTACTACATAAGACCCTGTCTCAAAAAAGAACAAACGAAATGGTGGGAGGAGGCAGGAAAGGAATCCAGCCTGAAGGAAATTGGAATTCACAGAGCATGATCATCTGTTCCAATGATAACCCGCAGCCTGACTCCCTAGTAGTTTTAACACTTTTTTTTAATATTGTGACGTTTATTTGCTTTTTCCCCACCATCATAGGAGATACATTTGTTCTTTATGATCAGAGAAAAGTCCTTTTGGAAAGGACAGTCTGATTCTACTATTCATTAAAGAAAAATTGAAGTCTTACAAACAATCCAGTGCAACAATTTTCAGTAGTCCTCCTGACTCTGGTGTAACCCATTAAAATATTCACGATAGGAAATTCTAAGTCCCAAGCTACATTTTTTTTTGTGGGGGAAGGGAGTTGGTTTCAAGACATTTCTTTGTGGCTTTGGAGGCTGTCCTGGAACTAGCTCTTGTAGACCAGGCTGGTCTCCAACTCAGAGATCTGCCTGCCTCTGCCTTCCGAGTGCTGGGACTAAAGGTGTGTGCCACCACCGCCCAGCTCCCAAGCTACAATTTATAGCTTTTTTTTTTTTTCTACATGGTTTACAGAGCCAGGGAGAGCAACAGTGGTGACTGCCTTTCAGAAGCTCAGGCCTCACGGCTCACTGCACAACTCAGTAGTCTCTGGGTCAGCCATTTTCTGAATGCCAGAGACCAAACTTCCATCAAGTCAGCTCTGGGCTAACATACCTTACTGGAGTGAATAGGGCTTTGAATTTTTAACTCTTGGTTTTTCTGGGGGGAGGGGTGTTCAAGACAGGGTTTCTGTGTGATTTTGGAGGCTGTCCTGGAACTAGCTCTTGTAGACCAGGGTGGTCTCCAACAAACAGAGATGATCTCCTACCTCTGTCTCTTAAATTCTGGGACTAAAGGTGTGCAACACTACCACCGGGCTAACTCTTGGTTCTTATAAAAAAAAATAAAATAAAATGTCAACATATACAAGGTGAGATGTAACTGTAGAGAAATATCTGATGGCTAGCACTTGGGATTTTTAAGTAAGCCATCTCTTCAATAAGTCTCTAAAATCTTGGTAAAAGTTTTAAACTACTGGTCACAAGACAGGTGTACCCTTAACATATTTCATCAAGACACATATTGCTAAGTCTTTAACAGGACACAATGGACGCATTGGTATCAATCTTAAAAAATAGATTTTGGACAACTATATATAATGCTTTCCAGATAAGGTAAAAGTACACTACAATGTATTTATTTGTTATAGGCTAAAAGTCCAGAAACGTATGAAGACTGACAGTTCATTTTTTTAAGTCACAAAAAAATATTTACTGATTTCTGTCTCCAAAGTGTTAAAATCAGTTTTACACTTAAATTTTTAAGTCATAAGGCATCACATTGTATTACAGACTTAGCTAAATGTTTATAAATGTGTCCTGATGAAATGTGTCAAGTTTTAACAGTCTTAGCTACCTCTTGTCTTGTCTTTGCAAAGAGCTCAGAGAATTCTGTGGTCTGACGTTTCCCTAATTTGAATGCAGACATAAGGAACTTGTGATTGAAAAACGGCCCTGACCCTGTAAAGTTCTTTGTTCTGGTTTTATTTGGCTTTTTTTTTTTTATTATGTACCAATTGAATTGTGTGTGCTAGAATTTATTTGGCATTGAATGTCAACTGTGTTGGCTTTTTAAATTCAGTATTGTGAAGGCCGATCCTGGTTATCAACTTGACATACCTAAGAAGAGAAACCCTCAAACTGAAAAAACCCATCAGGTTCAGACAGGCTTGTGGCCATATCTGTGAGGCATTTTCTTGGCTGCTAATTGATTGATAGAAAAGGGACCAGCCTACTGTGTGCCCTGCTGCCTCTGGACAGCTGGGCTTTGGCTTTCTTTGGGTAGCTGAACTTGAGGCAGGAAGCAAGCTGTCAGTTGTGCTCTTCAGTGGCTTCTATTTCAGTTCCTGCCTCCAGGTTTCTGCCTGATGCTGCTGTCCTGGCCTCCACAGATGATGTTTATAGCCTATAAACCGAGATAAGCCCTTTCTTCCTCCAAGTGTGCTTTGTTCTTTCCTTTCCTTCTTTTCCTTTTCTTTTTTTTTTTCTTTTTTCTATTCCTTTGGCTTTTCAAGACAGGGTTGGTTTCTCTGTGTAACAGCTCTAGCTGTCCTGGAACTCAATTTGTAGGCCAGAGATCTCAGAAATCACTTTGTAGACCTCGAACTCAGAGATCAGCCTGCCTCTGCTGGGATTAAGGGCATGCACTGCCGCCGACCAGCTCAATCTGCTTTTTTGATTATCACAACAGAAAGCAAACTAGGACAGATACACATTTTGGGAGAAGCTTTTTTTTTTTTTTTTTTTTTTTGCTTTTTGTGGTGGTATTTTTGAGACAGGCTGTAGCCTTGGCTGACCTCAAACTCCCTAGGTAACTAAAGATGACTTTGAACTTCTGATCCTCCTGCCTCCACTCCCAAGTTCTGGAATTCCAGGTTTTGGAGGTTGAACCCAGGGCCTCATGCATCTAGGTAAGCACTCCACCCACTGAGCTACATTGCCAGCCCAGAGGAATCACTTTGGAAAGTAGAGTCTGGCTTGTTGGTAGAGCTAAGGTCAAAAGGAGGGGCATGGTTCCATCTCAGAAGAAAAATTTAGTTAGTTTCTTGGCTGGAATCCAGAATTCATGATGAATCGATAGACCTTATTACATGAACTATTACATCCTAGCTGTCAGGCACACTAATGACATAAGGTTACATTTAAACCATGCAATTGTAGGATTAACAGAAGGTCAAAATGTGAATGTGAACTGCTAGGTGTAATATATCTAAAGGAAAACAACCTCTCCCAAAATATTTCAGTATGCAAAAAAAAAAGCAAACAAAACAGTGATAACCCCTTGCTAAAAAAGCATACATGAATTCAAATAATTTTCATGAGTTTCTGTCAGCAGAATACCATTAAAATACATAGACCATTAATACACCGACATTAATGAAATGGTAGTCATTATTTGCTTGATGCATAATTATGCAGGAAAATAATCCAGGTGAATTTGACATCGATCGCTGGCACGTAAAGGCATTCAAACTCTTGACCAAAGCACATCTCAAAAG